AGTATCAACAGTGTTGTCGATGGGATGCAATTTTGATCCCAAGTCAGACGAATTGTAGAAAATATATCCCCCGGCTGTTATAGTTCTTGCAAGTGCTGCTTATAGCATCTTTCCAAGCACCATCAAACTCCGCGTACATCTTTGTATTTGATCCAGAACAATTCAGATCACCAGTTATTCGTCCATCACAAAGCCCCCGACTGACACTGAAGTTACAGCGCTCCTCCATGATCCGTGCACATTTAGAGCCTCACGTTCACGGGTGGTTCGGTATGAAGCCGCCCATTGAAATTTGTGCAGTCTCGATCAGAAAAGTAGTCATACGTCACGTGAGGCGCGTCGAAATAGTACTCCATATAAGTCCCCTTGTAAAGTTTTTCAAGAACAACAGAACGATTGCTCTCGCAGCTCACCCCAAGGTACTACCAGTGGTAGGGAGTTCCAATAACCTTCGAGATGTTAGCACCACAGCTCGTTTTGAAGAATGGACCTAGTGAAAACGTGTCAGTTCACGTAGACCCCGTCCAGAGTGGTGGGTACATCTGGCATGAAGCTATCCGTTACGTCTAGCAGTTCGATAAGTTTCAATTCGTTGGAGCCGGTAGCAACCATTGATGCGAGATAGAGTATGATAACATACTTTGGAGGATACAGTCTATGGGCTGTATTGTCCACCGGAAAGGAAAAATGCACCTGTTGGTCAATGGCATTGAATCGATGATTGACACAATGTCTTTCACACCACTCTGAATCGGAGTCCGGTGCCGGAGTTGTTAGAATGCCGATGACAATTATATTGAGAACTTGAAGTCGGGCAATTCTTGAAGGGGGAGCACAAAACTAAAAGGCAGTCGCTGATTTCTAAAATAGCTAGCAATTGATGTTAGATCAACATCCATTTGACCATGTCTTTGAGAGTGCAGATAACCCGCTTGACTTAACATTCAAGATCTTTCATAGCATGTATTCACAGATGGCTGTGATAGTGATGAAACGTAAATGTCTTTCCAACAAAGCGCGCGTATGCACGGAACAGCTCTGGATTTTGACAAGAAACGCTGGAAAGAGCGCTGCAAAACGAGACGAATCATGACGAAAAGAAGCAAAAAAAAAAGTTGCTTGACATTTAACTCGTTAGCTCATCAAATTGTTTTTGTTAATCTTAGCGATTGTAGAAGGAGCGCATTTCTGACACCTGATCTTTGACATCCACCACCAGAGATATTACAATTGTCACCACCTGATTAAATATAATCACTCACTACAAATATGAACAACATCACCAGAAACATAAGGCGAGAAGCGCAGGGACGCGTGGGTGACGAGCATTGTTCACGAAGAATGGCGTCAGGCCCGTCGAGGAGTGCTCGGCGTTATTGAGTGCAAACTCAGCAAGCGATAGGAACGAGCTCCAGCTCGAGTACGAAGTCGCGTAGCTGCGCAGTACATCCTCGAGGACCCGATTGACGCGCTTAGTCTGTCCATCCGTCTCCGAGTGCGCCGCTGTTGACATCAGCAATTTTGTGCCAAGCAAATAGAAGAGATTTTACTAAAATGCAGATGTGAAGCGTGGGTCACGATCGGAGACGATCGACTCGGGTAGGCCATGGTGCCGGAATACCACGTTGACGGAGTGTGCCGCAGACTCAACCGCGGTGGTCGAATCTGCCACGGGAACAAAGTGAACCATCTTGCTGAAGCGGTCGCGAAAGATCAGTACGCCAGCGCGTCCGGTCGAGTCGGGCGGCAAACCAAAGATAAAGTCCATCGACACTGAGCGTCAAGCATCTGTGGCGACCGGAAGAGGACGAATTGGGGACTGGGACGACGAAAATGGCTTGACTCGTTGGCAGGTCTCACAAGTTCGAATCCAGTTGCGTACCCACTTGTACATGTGAGGCCAATAGAAATCTCTCGACAATGCTGCATACGTCTTCTCGCGTTCAAGATGACCTCCGATAGGAGCATCATAGAATTCGTGGATTATTCAAGCGCCAATACCAGAGCTGTTTGGAACAACGATCCAGGGACCATCGAACCGATCGATGCTGTACGTCAGTAGGTCGCCACCCAGTTGATATCGTTCAATCTGATTGCGTATGGAGTTGGAGAATTTCGTTGGAGAATTTCCCAGTGTGGCATCGCTGGAAGAGCGAAGGTGCTTCAGGATACCGACAGATATGGGATCTTCTTCATACGCGGCCGCAATCT